CACGTCTATGGAGGTTTCTAACTATTGAGGAAGGTATGAACAGCCAGAGTGGAACAGGTCCCTGATTCATCTAATACCAGCTGCTTCAAAGAGCAAAGAAACCTTCACAGAACAATAATCCATCCCTCTTCACATGTTTTTCTAATTGCTGCTAGTTGACATTTTCTGAAACTCTGTTCTCATTAATTGCACTAACTCTAGGTTTCAGAGTCATTTCCTGAAGTCTCTAACACCTGTCTTTGCCAAACTTAATGACTTTCTGTAATGACTTTAATATGCAATCACATCAAAAGCTCAGACCACACTAAAGAGAACACAGCTTGAAGTGAAATGACCTTTCTGCCACACACTTTTGTTAATTGTTTCTTCTATCGAGATGTCATGGTTTAACCTCAGCCGGCAACTGAGCACCACACAGCCGCTCGCTCACTCTCCCTGTCCTGGTGGGATGGGGGAGAGAATCAGAAGAGTAAAAGTGAGAAAACTTGTGGGTTGAGATAAAGACAGTTTAATAATTGAAATATAATAAAATAGTAATAATAATAACAACAATAATAAAAGAATATACAAAGCAAGTGATGCACGATGCAACTGCTCACCAGCCGCTGACCGATGCCCAGCCAGTCCCTGAGCAGTGGCCCCCCCAGCCAGCTTTCCCCAGTTTATGCACTGAGCATGACGTCCCATGGTATGGAATGTCCCTTTGGCCAGTTGGGGTCAGCTGTCCTGGCTGTGCCCCCTCCCAGCTTCCTGTGCACCTCCAGCCTTCTCAGTCGGTAGAGCATGGGAAGCTGAAAAGTCCTCGACTAGTGTAAGCACTGCTTAGCAACAACTAAAACATCGGTGTGTTATCAACATTATTCTCATCCTAAATCCAAAACACAGCACTGTACCAGCCACTAGGAAGAAAACTAACTCTACCCCAGCCAAAACCAGGACAGAGAATACAACAACATACAACTGATTCCGCTATGACTGTACCCTGCTTGGAGCTCTCCAGGTCACTCCACTGTTTCCTGTTGCATTTTTATTCAATGCTGAGGTCAATCAGCGAATCTGATCACAACCAAGCTGGCAGCAAAGAACAACCTGACTCATTAACTCACCAGGAGAATCTAATGCCTGGGCAAGAACCCAGTGGGCATCAACACAGCACAGCTTCTTCCACACCACAAGTACTGTGGTGAACTGGGGGCTGGTCTGTAGGGCAGCATGGTTGCATTGAGGATCCGTCATTCTCACCATCTGCCTCTCAGGGATTTACTTCAGACTAACTCTAGTCTGGTCTCAGGGAGTGGATACCACCAGTGGCTGTGCTATGTTCTCCAGTTAAATTTAATGTACAAGGAGTTTAGTTTGCAAGCTCTGAGACTGCTTTTCAACATGAATCAAAGTGCAATGAGCTGAGATGATCAGGAGGGTCGCTTCAGAAGCGCTTTTCTGATCAGAACAAAAAGCCAGCGTAGGCACACCCAGGGGATGGCTGGAAAGGGACAGACACACAAGGGACTGGGCTACTGCTTGATTTTACTGTACATTTTTCTCCTTAAAAATAATAAAGCAGATTTACAAACCACACCATGACTCTTAAACCACTATCAGCACGTAAGGGTATTTTCTTCGAAGCAGTCAGAAACCAGTAGCACAAGCACAAACTTCCAGGCCCACTCAAATTAATGGAAGTATTTTCTCCTCATTTTAGCTTTGATTATTCACATTGCTCTGCTGCATGAAAAACAGGAAGGGGTTAGATGAATGCAAAATAATCATCCAAATCGTCACAGATTTAGCTGACTTTAAACAAATATTTGCTGGCAAGCCTGCTGCAGTGAATTTTGCTGGCTCTTCAGATGGGTACTGTAAAGGTATTACGGTCAGGTCTGCCTGTTTTGTTCTTGATTAGAGGGCAGAAGTAGACTACACAAAGCAGCGTATCTTGATTTGTTGCACATGACATACAGCTCAAAATCCCTTTGGTCCTGGATCCCTGAAAACAAGGACTTGAGCTTACAGAATATTGCACTTAATTTGTTCTCGATATTATGTATCACCCTTCCTTCCCAACGTCCATCCAACGGAAGTATCATCTGAACCTCACCCAACCAGCTAAATAAGGGATTTTCACCCAGCTAGCCTAAAAAGACAACTATAAAACAAGGTTTTCAGCTTTGCTTCACTGTTATTCTTCAGCTCTGTGCATATTCAACTTACTTTCTCCATGAAATAGTTCCAGATAAATACACTCCTACAGCAGTATTCATAGCTGCAGACCTTACACCTTAGCTACTGAGAAGATGGTCACCACAGAAACAGCGCCTTAATGTATGGCAGCTTTCACCAGCAGCATTACGTTGTTGGTTACTGCCTTTCTGACAGCGGTAGCATTCCCACAGCTCAGCTAGCAACACAGGTAACACGAGAACTCCACCTGCATCAGGCAGCATCAGCTACAGAACCACTGCTGAAGGAGGTCTGAGCCAACTCATCTGACTTTGCACCGAAGCAGCTTTGGAGCATTCATATAATCTGCTCTTCTAGCAAAGACCACGTGACAGCCATCATTTCTGGAAAGAGGCAGTAGCACATAACTGGAAGGGGAAGGTATCCTCAGTTGCCACTACCATTTTTACTGCAATCGTCTTGCTAGGGTCTAACGAGTATTTGAGAACATTAACCTCTACTGCTTGTCAGCACACACAAACAGCAGATGTAAAATGATGCTTCAAGTACGGGACTAACTCCAGGATATACTGTAGCACTGGACTAGCCTCGTTATCCACAACTGCTGTCCTGCTCTCATTTCTATTATTGCAGTCAACTACACATCAGCAGATCCATCAGGTCTGAGACCGTGCAAGCAGCAGCAGCAACAGGAATGCAGGTTTATGCAGCAGTGATTGCAAACATTCATGATTTCTGTGACTTGCTCTGTAAATGGAACATCATCACACAAATCAGTTCGTATTTAAAGGTAATTGTGTTTATAAAACTCTGTCAGTTTTTCTTGGAACCGTACTTCTTGTAAAGGACTTGTGGTGTTTACTTTGGAAGTGTATTTACTAAAAAACAGCCTCACATAACATGCTCTTTAAAACAGAATTCAATAACCAAACTTTACACTCCACAAACACTGCTCTAAACCTCACATTTTATTTGACCAAAAGCCCTATAAAAAAGCCTGAGCTCCATCCCAAGGCTTATATTCTGTGCTTCTGCATCATGGCATAAAGCCATGCTATCTAGGAATCCCCGCTTCTATTGCTGCTACGTTTTCATCATTTAGTCTTTAACATCCATTACAGAAGCCTTCCTAGGGCTAAGCAGCAAAGAGAGTCAGGCTGCACGGAACCTCGCCTGCATTATCATACAACCTGTAATTTAAACTACCCACTCCAATCTACTTTGAAAATGTATTCCATTTTTTTAATCAACCTTGTACTATGTGATTCAAAATGAAGATAATCTAAAATACAGTCAGTTATTAAATCTACTCAAGTCTCTTATTTTTTGGGCTTTTCCAATGCCTGTCTGAAGTATTTTTCTCTCTCTTGCTTTTATATCCAAGAGCCACAACACCAGGAGGGGCAGGTGAGTTGCAAGGGCAATCCACTGTGTTGCCAAGCACAGTGCATATGCAAACACAGATAAACAGCGGGGAAAATTCACATCACAGTGCTGGTAAAACATGACTTGTTTCTTGTGGGGTGTCTGTTGTTATGAAACACTCCTGGTTTGGCAAGACCTTGAGCAAGACCCCCACAGCTGCCTCAGCATTGAAACCTGCCTTAATTCATCCCAAAGAGCTGAGTGATAGGAATGCTCTACTCTAGTCAGCAAAAGAATGGACAACTGGAGCATCTCCAGCTACTTCTCTATGACTGTTTCAGCTCAGACACAGCCCTCTGCACCACTTTAGCACAGGACAGGGGAACAGGAACTGCCCTAGAACAGAGGAAGTCATCCCACCTTCTCTTGCAAAGAAGCATTAAAGCAAGAATGATCTCCCTCTCCCTGGTACAATACTAAATCCCTTTTGGTTTAATACCACATCAGCTAAAGCCATCTAGCAGGATACCTGTAACAGTAACACGCAGTTTTTTCTTTTAAGAGAGAAATCACTTTTTTCAGATTAACATTCTTTTAAAATACAGATTTGAAATTTCACCTAAGCAACTATACAGGCTGTGCACCTTACAACGTATTGTTATCATCTTTATGAACTACAGACACAAAGCTACATAACATAGTCCAGAACAACCCCACTGCTACATTAACATCCTGTAGCATGTTACAGAACTACTGCACTTTCCAAACACCCAACCGAGCCTTGTGAAGCAAACGTCTAGTCTCATCTGCACCACGCACCGGCAAAAAAACAGTTTTAGTGAGTCAAGGTAACAGCTTTGATAAAAACCAAGATTAGAAAACCCAGAAATGTCTCAACTCACTGGCTACCTTTGACAAACCTGTTCTTACCAAGTACAGATCTTCTAACAAGAAGTGTTTACTTCAGGTTCCTTCCAGTGCATCACTACTGCAAACACCGTGGCACAAATCACATCCAGTTTGTCTGCAAGCACAGCTGGGATAATGCATTGCATTAGTCAGAGAGTGTTAGAGAGCAATGATGCAAAATTCATGAAGCGAAAGGGAGAGTTTGTGCCAGCTCAGAATACGAAGCGTTTGGGACTCAAAAGCCTGTGCAAGGAAACACATTGCGGTTTCAAACATGCAAATGGCTTTTAGAGTTGCAAGCAGTAAAGCACAGAAATGACCTTTCTGAGTCAAGTCCACCCTTCTGCCAAACACGCAAACAAATACTACGTTAGCGGTAGCCAAAACACAAGGGTAAAAAAGGACAGAAAAGGAACTTTCAAGAGAACTTTAAAATGTCCTTCCATCGCCATTAATAGCTCCGTTGTTTCAATTGGCTTTAAATACACTGAACAATTAACTATCACTGACTTTTTGTAAGCATTTGCTCAGTACTCCACCTTGTTAATCAACCCCATGCTTTATGCATATTGAGGCATTTGAAAAATTATCCAAACATCAACAGTCCTAGAGGCCATGACAGGCTGTCACCGCGTACCCAGGTAGCCCTTCACCCGCCCGCGGTCCACAGGCAGGCAGCTCCTGCCCCGCCGTCCACTCCGCACACACCAGCACCGTCCTCCTCTTGGGCTGTTCTACAGTGAGAAACAGGATTTCGGGACTTTTAAACTGGGCGTGCCCTAAAATTAATTGCACTATCCTGGAAACATGTATGGATGAAACTATTATCTCCAGGCGTAAATGTGGGAGTGTTGCCCAATACAAAAATATCAGGTTATTTTTAGGTCACCGCAGAAGCTCACGGCTTGGCCACCGGCCTTTTACAGGCTCTAACCGCCAAGTTGTTCACCCTTTTTTGTAATTTAAACCGCCCATGCCGCCCTCCGCCCCGCGAGCAGCCTGGCGACAGCTTTCGCGGGCCCGACCCCCCGCCGGTGTC